ATATATATATATATATATATATATATATATATATATATATATATATATACATATATATATATATATATATATATATATATATATATATATATATATATATATATATGTATATATGTGTGTGTGTATATATACATATACACACGAGGCGTTGAGAATGGGAGAGACGAACTCGCCACCTTAAAACAAATGCGATTCTTATCCCCCCCCCCCCCCCCCGTTTTCTATGAATTCTTCTCTATCGTGTGGCAAGAAATTATGTGGTTAGTTCACCTATCAATGGATGAGAACTAAGGTTAAAAATATGGTGTAAAACTCGTGGTCAGGACGATACGGAAATTTATCGAGATTGTCTCTCCCATTTTCAACGTCATGTGTATATATATCGCCTTATATATCCATATCTGTCGATCTATGTACGCGTATGGTGTATGTGTTTTTGTGTATGAATATGTGAAAACACACACATATGTGTGTGTGTGTGTGTGTGTGAAGATAGATAGATAAAGAGAGTGAGGGAGAGAGAGAGAGGGAGAGGGAGAGGGAGAGGGAGAGGGAGAGGGAGAGGGAGAGGGAGAGGGAGAGGGAGAGGGAGAGGGAGAGGAGAGAGAGAGAGAGAGAGAGAGAGAGAGAGAGAGAGAGAGAGAGAGAGAGAGAGAGAGAAGAGAGAGAGAGAGAGAGAGAGAGAGAGAGAGAGAGAGAGAGAGACTGATAGATATACCTATATATATATATATATATATATATATATATATATATATATATATATATATATATATATATATATATATATATATACATATATATATATATATATATATATATATATATATATATATATATATATATATATATATATATATATATATATATATACATATATACACGTATCTATACGTCCATCTAAACTTACATATTAGTCTACATAAACTATATCATTCCCACCCATAATCTTTATGTATATCAATCCATCAATTCCCGTGCATTACAAAGCACCTATCATCAATAATATACCCGTAAGATACTGTGCTGTCTGGCTGTCTCTCAGTTTGTCTCTGTCTGTCTACGTATGTCTGTCTGTCTCTGTCTCTCTGCAAAGAGAACCTCTACAGACAAGAGAGAGATACACAGTGCGAACGAGAACCTATATAAGTAAAAATTCATTTGAATGCGACTCCCTTTTTCTCGAAAACCACTCACATTATCGATCACATATGATTTTATGATTTTCTAATATTAATGTTATTGTTATCATTTTCATTATTATTATTATTATTATCATTATTATTATTGCTATTATTATTATTATTATTATTATTATTGTTATTATTATTATTATTATCATTATTATTATTACTATTGTTGTCATTATAGTCATCATCATCATCACCGTGATTATTATTGTTGTTGTTATTTTTATTATTATTATTATTATTATTATTATTATTATTATTATTATTATTATTATTAATATTACTTTTTTTGTCATTATAATCTTCATCATCATCATCACCATGATTATTGTTGTTATTATTATTATTATCATTATTATTATTATTATCATTATTATTATTATTATCATTATTATTATTATTATCATTATTATTATTATTATTATTATTATTATTATCATTATTAGTATTATGATGATCATTAATGTTATTATTATCATTGTTGTTGTAATTTTCATTATTATCATTATGATCAATATTATTACTATCATTATCATCACTATCATTAAAATTGTTATTATTAGCACTATTATTATCATTATTACAATTATTATTATTATTATCATCACTACGATCATGATCATTATCATTATCTTCCTCCTCAGCTTCGCATATCGGACTTATCCTTATCCTCATCTCTCCCGGCCTCATTTTCTATTTGTATGTCTTTCTGTTTATTTCTGTCTGTTTGTTTGATTTTGCCTGTCTACCCCCCCCCCCCTCTCTCTGCTGCTTTAGTACTTGAGGTGTTGTAGTTAAAGTTGTTGCAGTTTCTAAACTTTATTTCTGCAAGGAAGACGCGCCCAGGGAAGAGCGGGGAGTCTTGCCATTCCAGCGAAGGCGAACGGTCTGTGTGAGCTTGAGGTGTTGACGGAGCCAATGCTGAGGGTAGAGTGACTTCGGCTCCGAATTTCTGAGGTGATCACAAGTCATTTTTGTACGATACAATATGGAATTCATACTAAACATAAGAAAATGGAAAAACATTAGTCTTCAGTGGGAGTGTCATTGCAGACTTTCTGTTTTTTCATGGCAGTGTTAGGTTCCTGTGGTCACATTGGACGAGGACACTGGATACGTCAGTACAGTTAAATCATGAACATTTGATAATTATTAATTATCAAATGTAATATCATATGACGATACTTTAAAAGTATCGTCAGTGATGAAGATTACAAACATAGTAATTCAGAATAGGGATTTTTTCTAACTAACTTTTTGAATATGATCAAGATATAAGTTCACATGTAGTTATAAAGTGATCGACGGTAAGGGTCGGAATCCCTTGCTCTGGGGGCACTTCGTCAATGTCATTCCGTCAAAGTTGGCACAGGTGATAACCAGTAGAGTGCTGGGTACCGTGCGAAGTCGAGGGTTAGTAGAGGAGAGAGATCATTAAACTCTCCCTCTCTCTTTTCGCTCTCTGATTGCCCCCCCCCCCCTTTCTCTCTCTCTCTCTCTCTCTCTCTCTCTCTCTCTCTCTCTCTCTCTCTCTCTCTCTCTCTCTCTCTCTCTCTCTCTCTCTCTCTCTCTCTCTCTCTCTCTCTCTCTCTCCCTCCCCTACTCTCGCTCTCTTCCCTCTCTCTCTCTCTTTTTTCTCCTCTCTTTTTTCTCCTTCTCTCTTTTTTCTCCCTCTCCCTTTTTCTCCTTGTATCTCTCTTTCTCCATCTCTCTTTTTTCTTCCTCTCCCTTTTTCTCCTAGTATCTCTCTTTCTCCTTCTCTTTCTCCTTAACACACACATGCGTCATTTTGCTGAAGCAGTGATACTCTATTCACGCATTAGTTGGATTAAAAAACGATATAGTATGTGTGTATGTATATATGTGTGTGTGTGTGTGTGTGTGTGTGTGTGTGTGTGTGTGTGTGTGTGTGTGTGTGTGTGAGTGTGTGTGTGTGTGTGTGTGTGTGTGTGTGTGTGTGTGTGTGTGTGTGTGTGTGTGTGTGTGTGTGTGTGTGTGTGTGTGTGTGTGTGTGTGTGTGTGTGTGTGTGTGTGTGTGTGTGTGAGTGTGTGTGTAAGAATTTTGAAATAACATTTATATTAACTAACACACCAGAATTTTTTTTTTCTATACTTTTTTTTAGCAGATTGCTCCCTAAGAAAAGACAGTATTACAAACAGACTCCATTACATATGATTTTCTATTTCTATTTCTAGTTATCTTTTGTGGTGTTTAATATTAGTGATAGTGAATGTAACAATAAATTCTAGCAATTACGAAATACCTAAAAATGAAAATATTTATACTCACTATCACTTTAACGAAAAAGATGCCAAGCAAAATATAAATATATATTTTTCAACATCCAGCTAAATATAGATAAAAAATCTAATCACCTATACTTACTACTACATTTATCTACATTAAAAAAAATAACAAACACACTTACACAGACCTCAAACCAAATACACCGCAGAAACTCCTCCTGAAAAAAACACACGACTTGGCAACCTCCCCCGACATGTATTGGCCGACACCAACAAGATCTTTCAAGTCACAAACCTCTTTAATTTCACTTTCTCCGCCACAAAGAGCAGAAATTAGCGTTTCCCCCCTCTTCTTTCGCCTCTAGAGACAAGGAGGAATAGAAGAGAGGTCCTCCATGAGATATCAGTCATGGTGGAAGGTGCTGTTGGCGCCAATTTTCTCCAAAGGGAAGAACTTAGCGGGAAATTCTCAGTGTTTGAAGAGACGGGGTCGAGGGAGGGCAGTCAGGTGCGTGGTCCTTTTATTCTATTTCTGTTATGCTTTTGAATATCTGCTTTTCTTGAATTGGCAAACATGCGGTAGGGTGTTTTGTATTTTGTGGGGAGTTCATTTCATTTAGGTGCTGGTTATTTCGATGTATTTTTTTCTTAATGGGAAAGTAGGTCATTCAATGTCCGTTAATCTGGTATGTTTATGTTTAAAAGAAAAACCAAACGTGATACAGCTGATTTACTACAGAAACAACGATTACTAAATCAGTCATAAGTCACTAGATGACTTTTAACCCATAAGTTTTTCATTTTGATACGAGAAATGGACAAAAAATCAAAGAAAAACAAGACTATGCTTACGAAATGTATTTATATGAAAACAAAAAATTTGGGTACGTTTCTTAGTTGCTAAAACAGTGCCATGTTTTTTGGCTGTTTGTAGTTTTGTTCCCTTCTGTTGGCACTAAAAAATGGTAAGTTTAGGTGAGTGTTACACTAACTATTTTCTCTTTTTATCATGTCTCGTTATCCACTCCAAATGCAGGATGTGTTCAAACGTGTTAACCGAGTCACCATTGAAGCTGATCACGGCAGATGAACCAGTTGCGGATGGCCTAAGAGGTCGTGACCTTGTTAACCATGCCATGAGAAACATCTTTGCCACTTCCCCAGCGAAGTCGCCCAAGAAGAGGGAAGCCGACAGCCAGTCGTCTGCGCCCCAGGCTGGACTGTCCCTGCTGCCAGCTTCTCTCCTCCTGCAGAAGAGCTTTGGTCTTATTGCCTCTGAGGTGAGGTTTATGTGTGTTCAATTTCTACTTTTAGGATTATTACATTGAATATTTTAATTCACTGGTATGAAAAGTAACCACCATGATAAAATAAGTAAATCTTCAGAATATCTTCATATGACTGATTATGCCAGTAGTGGTATCAGTGGATTCTTCTCACTCTCTTCCACTCAAATATAAAGAAATTATGCCACAGACCCCCCCCTCCATTACCCATTAATCCTAATAGTAGGGGAGGATATAAATGATATCAGGGAAATTGTAGAATAGAATATGAATACTGTACAAAGAATTGGTCAGATGCATGGGGTTATGCCTGCCATCCCCCAAGCTGGACAACAGAGAATCCACTTGTATGTATGGCAGGATATAGCATAGGACGTACTATCCTGCTCTGAATGTGTGTAGGATTCTTCGTGTTCCAGGATGGGGTTTGGTTGGCAGCAGCATTTGAATTCTAATGACCAATTCTCATATTTTACAGCACAGTTTCCCAGGTACCTTTCATTCTTTCTTCTGCTATCAAGGTCAAGAATTTGGGGGTTGGGGGAGCCAGTGGCAAATAGTAGTAATTGAGAGGAATCTGTTGATGATGATATTGTTGTGATTGGTCGTACAAAGGTATTCTAAACAATTATCATAAAATGGTATTACATAGGGTTTTGGTGACTATCATTAAGAGACTGTTTATTGTGATTTCTCAGGCTCCTTCGGAAAAGAGGAAAAGATCCAGGCCCTTCACAGTGTCAATTGAAGGGAATATAGGAAGCGGCAAGTCCACTTTCCTTCAGTACTTTTCAGCTCAACCAGGTGTAGCTACTTATCAGGTATGTTGATGGTATAATTTGAAAGAAAATGGTGTTCTGTAATTCTATCATGAGCTGTTGTAGTGAAACTTTTCCATGTACTGTTTATTTAGGGATATGTTAATGGTTCTTTTTTGATATATGTTGATGTTATAATTTTAGTTTGATAAAGATTTATGGTACTTTTACTCTTATGTATGTTAATAATACTTCATTTTAATCATTTATGTTGCTACAATGCATAATAGCCAATTAAATTGTATTTGCAGGAACCTCTGAATCTTTGGACTAATCTCCATGGCCACAATCTACTAGGGAAGCTGTATGAAGACCCCAAACGCTGGAGTTTCCTTTTCCAGTCCTATGTCCAGTTGACTCGATTAAATATTCACCTTCAACAGTGCGACAGTCCTGTCAAGCTTATAGAGAGATCATTGCAAAATAACAGGTAAATCTTTTAGAATACATGTAGAGATGCTAATATAGTTGTTGCAAGTCCACTGATCAACAGCCACTCACAAAAAGATAACAAGTGGAATTATAATTATGAAGTTTAAGAGACAAACTATTAAAGTAAAAAGTATGGAATGTGTGAATGACATAAACTCAGACAGAAATAGGAGTTAGTATTGAAATTATTATTATGTTTAACCACACCAAACTAATTCCAGGGCAGTTAGAAAGCAGAGAAGCTTATAACACATGTCTTCAAAATGTGGGAGAAGGGATTGTTAGACATTGAATTTTCATATCAATAGTTAAAAAATTGCTTGAAGTTTATCAGTAGCAGTGAAGTGAAACAAGTATCTTTTTTTTTTTTTCTTTTTCCAGATATTGTTTTGTGGAAAGTGGCCATGATTCTGGAGAACTGCAGGGTGCAGAGTATAGTGTACTATGTGAATACTACGATTTGCTTGAGTCAAATCTTGATATTGGAATAGACTTAATAGGTAAGAAGACAGAAATATTTGTCTCCTACTGAAGCAAAAATATATTTACTGACTCGTATGTAATGTATTATTTCTTCTTTTTCCAGCAGTGATATGAAAATGATGAAAACAATATAGTGTGGTTTTACTTCTGTATTTATTTTCACAGTATACTTAAGATCAACACCAGAAACCGTACACAGCAGGATGATAGAGCGAGGTCGTTCGGAAGAAGCAGGTGTTCCATTGGAGTATCTCAAGCAGGTATTTAGAAGAGTGATTTAACTAACTGTTCACACTGATTGCATTTATTCTTATTGCTGCTTCTTTTTCCTCTTTATTTTGATATCTTAAAGATGAAATTGTAGTTTTGTACAAGTATCACTGTGAGTAATACACTTATCACCATTTTGTCCTGTTCCTCTTTGAGCTCTTAAAATTTAAATATGCATAGAGTGATATGGTATATTTGGCAAATAAGTCTGCATGTTCATCTCTAAAATATTTTAAAAATCACATTTTTATATGTATATTCTAAATTCTTATCTAAGTAACTCTTGACTTTCTTTTCAAAAGATTCACAACTACTACGAGAATTGGTTACTAGAGCATAAACCCCGTGCACCTCCAGCCCCAGTACTTGTAATTGATGCTGACAAGGACTTGGAAAAGGTCAAGGAGGAGTATAGACAAAAAAAGGCAGTTATTATGGGAGAAGAACCTTTATAATGAAGGCTGTGAATCATGGTCTGCCTTTCACCCATGTGCATTTTTATGATATATAGATTGTGAAGTATTTTCTTTGAACTTACCATCCATCTTGCTGGTGAAAACAGTGTATGTTTAACTACATATTTAATGTGTAAAACTAGTTAAGTGTTCATAGCATTTAAGATTTTAAACATGTTTAAAAAGAGGCAGCTTTACTGCCTTATATATAAGCTCCCATTGGCATTCAGGTAAATTTTGTATTGTAAGAGTAGTTCCAGTTAGTCTCTTTTTAACATGCAATGAGGTAACCTTTTAATGTCAATATGATGGATGTCTACCTCAATGTAAGGATTGTTTTCACCACATGCATCTACACATACACAGCAGCTATAGTTACCAGAATCATAATTTACATACAACTAATGCTTTACAGTTAAACTTCATATCATAAATATTGGATTTATTTTGATATTCATATTTAATCTGGTTTGTTCAGTGCAATAACTATAAAATTTCAGGTTCTGTTTCGGTGACAAAGGCCGGGTTATAGTTATGATTAAATACATTTTTTTCTGTAGAAGTTTTGTTTCTGACAGTCATTCTTCATTTACATTAATTTTAGTTGCTTGTTTATACATTATAACTCCTATTGTTATATTTCTCAACTTTCTTACCTTGTGTGAACTTATCTGTACTTGCATTTGTATTAATATTTAACCATAGTTTCCATGTCCTGTAAGACCACAATAATACTGACAATAGGCATTAGAAACATGTCTTTTTGAGTTCAGGTAGCAGTGATTGACTAGGTTTTTTTATCAATATTTTTAAGCCCATACTTCATTACAGGTATCAAATAATTTCAAAGGAAACTAGGCAGTAGCCTGACAGCATATAAGTTAACCTGGGAATAGGCATCAGGTGACTGATTGCAGTTCTAAAGACTCTAAAAACTGACTGTATTTACTTTATTTTAGGGTTGGTTTGGTAATTAGGAAATAAGGTTACCTGAACTACGGATTTTGATGAGGATTTACTTCAAGCAAAGCTATATTAAGTAAATGGTAAGGAGTCCTTGTTTTTACATTTTAACATTTAGTAGAAACATTAAAGAATAGATCTCTTGACAGTCGGTTTGCTTTCACTTTGATTGAAAGCAAATATAATCTGCTTTAGTCATAAAGGCAAATTTTTAAAAGGACTTTGTTCTTATTAATCTGGTCAAAAGAGATTCTTTAGTAAATGTATATTAAGATGTATTTATAATGTTCAAGAAGAAATATATAGTTGTTTCATTACTTTTATACTAAGTATATTTTATATATATAAATCACTAAGTTACATTCTAAGAATGTAAGGAGTACAAAAATAAAGCTATGATACTGAAGTATATTTTTCATTTCCTTTTTTTACTATTTATCCCTGTTCATCTGAAATAAAGTTTTGAAATAACTTCTCCAACCCCTTCTACTATCCACATCTTAAGGTATGTGAGCTATGCTGAAAGGATGAAAATCTGACTGTGGCAGTCATGAATGGCCTTGGGGGAGCCATGGGCATTCCCATTTTCTCTAGCCATTACTGTCTAAGAGGACCTTGAAAGGTGGACTGTTTCTCTCCCCAACATACTCTTGGCTTACCATAGCCAGTAGTGAAGACTTTGTACTATTATTTAGGGCATTGAGGCTTGCCACTTTATCAATTGCCCAACTGTTTTCATTTCTGGTTCCCCTACCCCAGGCTCTCTTTTGACCATGACTCTGAACACTGCTACTAGTACTACATCCTCAGTGTCTACTATCACATCAGTTTCCTTCTGCAACCACTCTGATCATTCCTGCCTTGTCACAGTTACATCTGGAACCCTAGTTAAAGCATTATCAACCCTGATAGAATTCACTGGCAAACCCATTCCTGCTCAACTTGAGCTGGAACTGTCTCCATCTCCCTGACAAACTGCCCTGTCTACGACAAAGATTGGCCACCATGCTAAACACTGCCATTCCACAGCCTAATGCCCTCTATGTGCCCAACCTGGTCATGATCAATCAAACTGCTATGCACAGTCACATATGTGTGCCAAATGTGGCAGCTCCCATAATGTATTTTATAAGGGCTGCCCTATTTACAAATTTGAGTCTCAAGGAGCAAATTTCAGATTCTCACTTGGCCTCACTCTATACAAGGCCAGACAGAAAGCATATTGACAAGGTTTTTCTCTTACTTCCTACTCCAATAACACTGTTCTGCCCCTCCCCCTTCTTCCCAAGATCTAAATCCCCCCCTGTACCTATTCCTCCTTCATCTTCCTTCTCTCCATTTAGACTTCCATTGGTCAGTTCTAGACCACTTTCCCTATACTTCACTCTTTACTATTCCTCTCCTTCCATTCCCCTTCTCGTCCATTTCAGATATGCTACAATAGTTCTGTGCTAAGAGCTGCCTGTACAGCCATTCCCCAAACCTCCTGACCTAATACTTTAAAGTGTGTACCATGGTGGAACTCTGATTGCTCCAATGCTTTGTCTAAAATGCACAGTGAGGCACCCCTAATCAGCTATCAGCCCTTATCTCCTTTAAATGAGTTTCTGTCTGTCTTTGTCACACAATCTGGCACAGCATAACAACTAGCTGGCAAAATTATGTTTTTTTTATTATGACTTCAACATTTATTTCATCTGTCACATTTGGACAACAGGAAAGTTTCTTCCAATGACGTGAAGTTCTTATCCTCCCCTTCTTGAAACCTAATAAATCAGGTACCCTTTCTCAAGATTACTGCCCCACCACTCAACTAGCTGCTTGTGCAAACTACTAGAATGAATGGTTAACTTCCACTTAAGGTGGTATCTTGAATATCCCAATCTTCTCTCTCCTTCTCAGTTTGCATTTCACCATGCCCAAAGTAAAACTGACCTCTTTGCTAATTTTGAGACACACTACATCCACATTTGCATGCCATGACTGTATTAGCCATATTTTTTACTTAAAAAAAAGCATATGATACCACAAAGTGGTACCATATTCTTCAACCCTTGTTCTCTCTAGGCATATGTGGAAACATGGGTGTCTAATAGCCTTCCTCTCCAAATACACTTACCAGGTCAAAATTGCCTCTTCTAAATCATCTTTTCCTCAGTATAGAGGCAGTGTGCTCAACACCACATTTTTCCTTCTTGCTGTTAATGGCATTGTTTTAGTTCTACCGCCAGGGGCCCGGTCATCATATGTTGATTTAACCATCTTCTCTGGTTCATCAGTACCTCCTCTGTCAACTCCTTCAGTCTGTAATATCAGCATCTTCCTGGAACACTAATCATGGCTTTTACTTTTCTCTCGCACAAGTGTAGGTCCTCAACTTCCACTCTTCTTATGTGGTGCTCCGCTCCAGTACCGTTCTTCTGGCAAGTTCCTTGGAGTTATTTTTGACTCAAAACTGTCCTGGCAAGACCATACCTTTTCCATAACATAGAAAGCTTGCCATCATCTCTGAATCTTAGACTTATTCCCATTCAGATTGTTCAGATTGCAAAACTATCCTCCATCTCCTTATTTCCTTGATCCTCTTCACTCTTGAGTATGGATGCCATATCTACTCTTCTGCCTCTACCTGCCTTCTTGCTTATCATGATACAAATCACTGCAGTCTTTGATTAGGTCTAGGCACTTTCAGCTCCTCTCTAGTAGGAAGCCTGTATGCTAAGTCTGGCATGCTATCTCTCTCTCAACACCAAACTAACTATCCCTCGCTCTCTGCTCCCTAATTTTGCTCCTTCTCCCTGTTTACCTACTCCTTTCTCCATTTGCATGGACATTTTCCTTTCCTATTCCCCCTTTCCCCATCTACAACCTCTTCCCTTTTCTGTACATTCTGTTCCTCCATGGCTTATACCTTACCCGTTTTCAGATATCCCCCCTTCCCTCTTATTCACCCATTTCCTTGACCATCTCTCCACTCATTCCTCCAGTATCCATATTTACAATGATGGCTCCAAATCCACCTCTGGTACTGGTTTCACAGTAGCCTTCCCCAGACCTGGCCGTTTGAGGCGGGCGATCGCCCGCGCGCGCCTCCACGCTATTCATCGCTCGCTTCAATGTCAGTTCGTACATTAAACCGCGTTTTGACTTCAAAATAACATTAATCACCTTGAACTTGAACTTGAACAGACCTGGCCGTTTGAGGCGGGCGATCGCCGCGCGCGCCTCCACGCTATTCATCGCTCGCCTTCAATGTCAGTTCGTACAAAACTAACGCCCGCCTTGGTTTTCCTTTCATTTCTCGACACCTCTTGAATTAAAACTAAAATATTGACAGGAACTTAATCCCTTATGTTTTGACTTCAAAATAACATTAATCACCTTGAACTTGAACTTGAACAGACCTGGCCGTTTGAGGCGGGCGATCGCCCGCGCGCGCCTCCACGCTATTCATCGCTCGCCTCAATGTCAGTTCGTACATTAACCGCCCGCCTTGGTTTTCCTTTCATTTCTCGACACCTCTTGAATTAAAACTAAAATATTAACAGGAACTTAATCCCTTATGTTTTGACTTCAAAATAACATTAATCACCTTGAACTTGAACATCAAAATGCCAGTTTTCGAATGACTTTTAGTTTGTACTAATGTTATAAAATTACGCTATTTGATTTAAGTTTGGTTCTGTTCAAACCTTGTTTGTGAGAATGTGGTTGATTTGCGACTATATGAAACTATCGTTTTATTTCTGTTGGAGAATTGTCATCTTGTTTTGTAAACTTAGCTGTTTAAATACCAATGTTGCATTTGTTGTTTATTCGTACACTTTTATGGACGATTTTCAATAGATTGAAAATCGCCCACCTGACTTTAACGAGGAGAGCAATGCACCGCTCGCCTGCTAAAATGCTCACGGCCAGGCCTGCTTCCTAACTTCCACATTCAAATACCCCCTCCCTCCTGAGTCCAATGTCCTTAATACAGAACTGTACGCTCTCCTTTTCAGCTTCAAACATATACTCCCTCCCTTCCCCATCATTCACTATTATTACTGATTCCCCTAACTCACTGTCTCTCATAGTCTATGCACTCAAACAACCACCTTGTCTGTAAGATTCAGGACATTGTTTTACGTATCTACGTACCACAAATCTGTCAGGCTTTGCTGGGAGCCGAGCTTTGTCAAATGAACAGGCAGATGCTCTAGCACCATTTCTTGCCTGCTTGCGCATTGGCCACACCTACATTACGCACTCTTATCTCATGTTACGTTCTGATCCACCCCTATGTTCCCATAATGTTTCTCTTTCAGTGCCATACAATCTGTTGTCCTGTCCATGCTTTACTGCAGCCCTTATCTTTGCTTTCCCTTACCTATCTTCCCTTCACCAACCTCCCAACATGTCAGACATCCTTAAAGAATCCTACATTTTCTGCTTTGAAACCTGTTTTCCTTCCTGAGATGCATACTTATCCTTCACTTGACCTAATCCCCCCTTGCTTATTCTTACCTTAACCTATTCACTCATCCTCTTCAACTTTGCCCATCTTTATCCTTTACAATACCATCCTACTGCAGTGCATCTGTTGACATACAGCACCTAATCATTAAGTTACCACCCCCTCTACCCTTTCCAATACTATACCTTCCTATAGTGCTACATCACCTTTGATGACTATCACATTTATTTAGTTTTTTTGACCATTAACCATTAAAACAAACTCTTGATTGGTGTGTAAGGTTTATATTTTTCTTCAACACTAATTTGGGGAACACAAAAATATGAAAATTTAATAATTTTGTCTACTACATTACGTGAAAATAAAAAATACATTGGCACTCCATAAGGACAATCCTTCCATCAAAAAAACTCTTGATTATCTTGACAAATGCAATAACGGATCACAAGAACCAACATGTGAAATAATAATACAATGGCTTTGGATGCCAGGAGGCTTTCACTACTGGGATCCAAAACACACAAGATTACTAAGAGAGTGAAATAATACAAGATCCAAGGAGTAAAGAAATTATTAGTCATTGGTGTTGCCTTGTATATTTTTTGAAACCTTACATATGTGAAAAATACCCCTGTATGCTATACATACAGTGCACAAAAAAAAGAAAAAAAAATTCAATATATTTCCTATGATGAGGTATTCTCATTTTATTTGTGCACTGTCATTCCCAGTAATCCAAGGGAGATGTGCTAACATATGGCAACTCTACTGGCACATTAACATCTCATGGTCAATTCACTTGATTAATTCACTTTATGACTGAGATAGATAGCATTCTCAGCCACTCCACTTGATATGCCTCTAAACATGTGGTATTTTTATGAACTGTCTGTAAAGATAGGCTAGCTATAAACAACATTCTTGGGAGG